CTAGCTATAAAACTTTGATATAAAACCAGAATAGTACAAAGAAAGAAAACTTCAATTTTACCTAGGAAAATGTATGCAACAGTCTTACAATATTAGAATAGAATTCTTTTTCTTTTCGGAGACAGGGTTTTGCTATGTCACCCAGGCTGGAGTGCAGCAGTATGATGACAGCTCACTGCAGCCTTGAACTCCTGGACTCAAAGGGATCCTCCCACCTCAGCCTCCCTAGTAGCTAGGACTACAGGGGCATGCCACTACACCTGGTCAATTTAAAAATTTTTTATAGAGATAAGAGTCTTCCTATGTTGCTCAGGCTGTTCTCGAACTTCCGGCCTCAAGCAATCCTCCTGCCCTGGCCTTCCAAAGTGCTGGGATTACAGATGTGAACCACTCCACCTGGCCTAGAATAGAATTTGGAATAGCATATCAGAAAAAAATCACGACTAATCAGAGTTCATTGAGAAATGCAAGGATAGTTCAACGATAGAAGGTTAATTGATACAATAAACCACATTTTCTCTAATCTTGTCTTCTCATTTTATTTCGTCAATTTGATCTTCAATTACTGATATCCTTTTTTCCACTTGATTGAATCAGCTGCTGAAGCTTGTGCGTGCATCACCAAGTTCTCGTGCCATGGTTTTCAGCTCCATCAGGTCATTTAAAATCTTCTCTACACTGTTTATTCTAGTTAGCGATTCATCTAACCTTTTTTCAAGGTTTTTAGCTTCCTTGCGATGGGTTAGCTCGGAGAAGTTTGTTATTGCTGACCTTCTGCAGCCTACTTCGACAAACTCATCAAAGTCATTCTCTGTCTAGCTTTGTTCTGTTGCTGGTGAGGAGCTGCAATTCTTTGGAGGAGATGAGGTGCTCTGATTTTTAGAATTTTCAGCTTTTCTGCTCTGGTTTCTCCCCATCTTTGCGGCTTTTATCTACCTTTGGTCTTTGATGTTGGTAATCTACAGATGGCGTTTTGGTGTGGATGTCCTTTTTGTTGATGTTGAAGCTATTCCTTTCTGTTTGTTAGTTTTCCTTCTAACAGTCACGTCCCTCAGCTGCAGGTCTGTTGAAGTTTGCTGGAGGTCCACTCCAGACCCTGTTTGCCTGGGAATCACCAGCAGAGGATGTAGAACAGCAAATATTGCTGCCTGATCCTTCCTCTGGAAGCTTTGTCCCAAAGGGGCACCTGCCTGTTTGAGGTGTCTTTCGGCCCCTACTGGGAGATGTTTCCCAGTCAGGCTACACGGGGGTCAGGGACCCACTTTGAGGAGGCAGTCTGTCCGTTCTCAGAGCTCAAACACCGTGCTGGGAGAACCACTGCTCTCTTCAGAGCTGTCAGACAGGGACGTTTTAAGTCTGCAGAAGTTTCTGCTGCCTTTTGTTCAGCTATGCCCTGCCCACAGAGGTGGAGTCTATACAGGCAGTAGGCCTTGCGGAACTGCAGTGAGCTCCTCCCAGTTCGAGCTTTCCTGCTGCTCTGTTTACCTACTCAACCCTCAGTAATGGCAGACGCCCCTCCCCCTGCCAGGCTGCTGCCTCACAGATTGATCTCAGACTGCTGTGCTAGCACTGAGTAAGGCTCCGTGGGCATGGGACCCACCGAGCCAGGCATGGAAGAGAATCTCCTGGTCTGCTGGTTGCTAAGAATGTGGGAAAAGCCCAGTATTTGGGCGGAAGTGTCCCGTTTTTCCAGTCTGTCATGGTGTCCTTTGCTTAGGAAAGGGAAATCCCCTGACCCCTTGCGCTTCCTGAGTGAGGTGACGTCCTGCCTTGCTTTGGCTCACCCTCCATGGAGTGCGCCCAGTGTCCAACCAGTTCCAATGAGATAAATCAGGTACCTCAGATGGAAATGCAGAAATCACCTGTCCTCTGCATCAATCACGCTGGGAGCTGCAGACCAGAGCTGTTCCTATTCCCACATTTTCATATTAAAGCAAAAAAACACACAATGGTCTCAACAGATGCAGAAAAGCCATTCATAAAATTTAATATTTCTTCATGATAAAAATCTGAGCAAGGTAAGGGCCAGGCATAGTGGCTCACACCTGTAATCCCAGCGCTTTGGGAGGCCTAGGCAGGCAGATCACCTGAGTTCAGGAGTTCGAGACCAGCCTGGCCAACATAGTGAAACCCCATCTCTATTAAAAATACAAAAATTAGCTGGGCAGAGTGGCATGCACCTGTAGTCTCAACTGTCCGGGAGACTGAGGCAGGAGAATTGCTTGAACCTAGGAGGTAGAGGTTGCCATGAGCCAAGGTTGCACCTCTGCACTCCAGCCTGGGAGACACAGTGAGACTCCATCTCAAACAAAAATAATAAAAATAAAATAAAATAAAAAAACTCTGAACAAGGTAGAGAGAGAGAATTTTGACAAGATATCTATCAAAAACAAAAAGCTAACTTCACATTTAACAGTAAAACTTCAGAAGCACTCCAATGGAAGTCAGGACCAATATAAGGATGCTAGCTTATCTGTAAATTACATAACTGGCTACACAGAACTAAAGAGAATTTCAACCAAACCATCAGAACTAATTAAGAGTTTGAGATTATGCTGTATATAATATTTACATTAAAAAAATAGCATTCTGCCATACCAGTTAATAACCAACTGGAAAATGTAAAAAGAAAAAAGAAAGCCCATTTGCAACTACTACAGCAAAAATAATCTACGAATAGAAAATAAAATATGGGAAAAAATTTCATGGAGATAGTTTAAGTTTTTTTTTTTTTGAGGCAGAGTCTCCCTCTGTCACCCAGGCTGGAGTGCAGTGGCGCGATCTCGGCTCACTGCAAGCTCCGCCTCCCAGGCTGCCGCCATTCTCCTGTCTCAGCCTCCTGAGTAGCTGGGACTACAGGCTCCTGCCACCGCGCCCGGCTAATTTTTTGTATTTTTAGTAGAGACGGGGTTTAACCGTGGTCTCGATCTCCTGCCCTTGTGATCCGCCCGCCTCGGCCTCCCAAAGTGCTGGGATTACAGGCATGAGCCACCGCGCCCGGCCAAGTTTTTTTGTTTTTTTTGAGATGGAGTCTCCCTCTGTTGCCCAGGCTGCTGTACAATGGCATGATCTCGGCTCACTGCAAGCTCTGCCTTGTGGGTTCACGTCATTCTCCTGCCTCAGCCTCCTGAGTAGCTGGGACTACAGGTGCCCGCCACCACACCCGACTAATTTTTTTTTTGTATTTTTAGTAGAGACGGGGTTTCACCGTGTTAGCCAGGATGGTCTCGATCTCCTGACCTCGTGATCTGCTAGCCTCAGCCTCCCAAAGTGGATAATTATAAGATATTTAAGGCAAAAAGATTATCAAAATTCTCACCAATTGTAGCTTATACAACATTCATGGAATAAAAACTTACTTGATCCACAAATTCAGCTCAGTTCCAATAAAAATCCCAGTAAGTCTTTTTATAAAGGACTAAGTGTAACAAGGGCAATTACAAAGAACAGCAATGTGTGGAAACTCTTGACATACTACATATCAAGACTTATAAAATTCTGTATTAAGATAGTGTGGTGCTAGTAGAAAGTCAGAAAGTGCCCAAAACAGAACTACATATTTAGGAAAACTTGGTATGATATAGATGGCATTATAAACTGAGAATAGACTACTCAATAAATGGTGCTCAGACAATTAGTTACCTATATGGACAAAAAATTAATTCCCTCACATTGATTTTTATACAAAGTTAGTTCCATGTGGATTAAATATATAAATGGGAAAACCAGAAGATTTAAAAGAAAACATACAGAAGAACCGTCCTGATCTAGGTAGACAGGATTTCTTGACCAAGACAAAAAGCACAAACAATAAAATACGACCGTTTTGGCAATATTAAAATCAAAAACATCTGTACAAAAAATTGAACATAAATATAGAGAAGCCACACAGTGAAAGATATTAGCAAAATGTAGTAACAAAAAAGGATTAGTATTAACAATACTCTTACAAATTGATAAGCAAAGATAAAGCCAATAGAAAATTGGGCAACAGAAAAAACAAAAACAGATATAAAAAATAATAAACATTAACATGTAACTATATATAAAATATATAATACTGTTACATTGTTAAGTTTTAGATATAAAATGCATATAAATAGCACAAACCTAAGTACTAACGTTAAAAAACATTACTGGGTATGCGAAACACCAAATAAGGACAATAGTCACTACTACAAAGAAGAATGGGAGACTTTAACTTTTATTTTTAAAAATGCGACATAAATCTGGCAAATGTTAACATTTTTTAAAGTTGGGTAGTGAATAAACAGGTAGGTATTCTTACTCTCTGCTAGTCTCTGTGTTTAAAATATTTCATGATAAAGTGAGCAAATGGTTAATTTTACATAAAAAGAACTTTAACAGATGCAAAAAATAAAACCTCTTCTCATTCGACAAGCAGTCTAAATGGGGAAAAAAGAACCGAATCATAAAAAAGGTAGCAGATAATGTCACCGTGACTTACCAGCCTAATTAAAGCTTATTACTTGTTATGTATATATCCTTATTAAACTAAGTAGTTACCGTGTTAAAGCATTTTAGTGTTTAAATAAAAGATTTCAGAACACAACAGAAATACATTCCAATATGTTGGGGTTTTTACGCTTAGGAAAATCTACAATAGTAGTTGATTTGACATTTGAATCACACCTATCTGAATTAAGATGTCCAGTACTACCAAACAAAAGCCACACGAGGCCATGAAACACTCCCAACTCTGCATGTTTTAGCCTTTTCAAAGTCCTAGAAACCAACTGATACTGATTAAAAACCAAACAAAAAACTACAGCTCTCAGAAAAATACATCATTTTGCACACAAAGGCCATCCATAGGCCTCAGATCTAGAACTCCTGCTTTAATGTTGCTTCTCCAATCTCAAACTGAAACATTGGCTGAGTTACGCTGGAAAAGAAGGCAAAGTGTTCGGGGCCTGAGTTCTAGTTGCGTAAAACCTTTCGGGCTTTCGGCAACTTCTCGAGAGGTTAACACCTTTAACGAGACTTTGTTCCCTACCGATGCCGTGGCTGGACAAATGCCTCTGTCAACTGCTACAAACCCAAAGTCTATGCTCTAAAGATAGTGAAGCCGTTCTGTCAAAGTGAAAACAGAAGGGGTAGGTAGGAAGCCGCCCCGCTTTCTTTCAAGCACAGAGACCCAGAGAGACGCCCAGGAGCTCCCAAAAAAAACGTTGGTGCTTAAGAGTTGCCGGGGGTCAGAAACAGCTGTGAGACACTGAAAAATCCCCACTGGTAAGCGCCCCAACTCCACCTCGACCCCTACCCGCAAGGTTGGGGACTGGTTAAAAGGGGGGAGGGAATACCTCCCCCAACAACCGCTTCAACCGCCTTCGGCCAAGTCCCCGCTCGGGCCCACCAACCTCACAGCCTGAAGAATCCCACACTCACTGGAAAGTGGGGCCGGGTCCTGGTCCCGGTCCGGCTCCCGGAATTCGGCGGGTCTCCCAGGGTTTGGGGGGAGGTGGCGGCTGGGACGCCATCTCCTCCGCCTCCGCTCGGCTCCCGCTCCTAGCCCGGACTGTCCAGGCCAGCGTAGACCAGCACCTCGAGCGCAAGGCACAACGGGAAGAACACCGAGCCGTCCACCCCTCCCACCCTAGCAGTCAGAACAAGGCTTGAGTTACTTCGCCAGCTGAATCCATACAGCGAGAGGATGCTACTAATTTGTAGGAAGAAACACGTTCTTTGTATTTGCCCCAGAAAGAGCTCCTGTTCTAAATCTCAGGGTAAAGGCTCATCGATATTTCTGGCAGCGGCTACAACTCCCTAGACGTCAGAGTCCGACAGAGGCTTTTCTGGGAGTGGACCAGTAAGGCTGGGAGTAAAGCCCCACGCACTTCTACAGTCGCGGGGGCGGTGGGGTGAGGTGGCAAAGTAGGCGATTTGACGGATTTCCCTACAAACAAGAAGGGAGAAGCTCACTTAGTCCTAGCGAGAACGGGCTGGTACTTTCGTTTAAAGCTCACGTTTCCTCGGGGAACAGAATTGCTAGACGCAATAGGTGCGTTGTCTTTAGTCTTCCCCGTTCCCTTCGAGGGCCGGAAGGGGTTAAATCTCAGGCTCCGGCGAGAAGGTGAGGCGGGTACGTATGAGGTGAAGGAGTGCAGACTGGGTGCAGAAGAGGTGTGGCGAGAGAGAGAGGTCATTTCTCTCCTGCTGGAGCGGCTTTGTTAGCAAAGGAGGGGTGAGTGGGAAGTTTGTTGCACCTGACCGAAGGGGGAAGGGCTTGCTTGGCCAAAACTGAGGCTTGAGGTTAGATCTCGGGATGAACTTTTCAAGAGTCCACAGTAGATTCCATAGCTGAATGTTTCAGAAGCCCAGTGAAGTGTGATCACCTTTTTCCCCGCAAATCCACACCCCCAGCCCCACGCCGCGGTACGAATGACACCCTTCGGTAGGGAAAGGAGTTTAACAGATCTTAGGATATGAGACTCAGGCAGTTTTTTCTCACACCCTGCTCCTTTCCTCGTTTTCGATGACTAGTTTTTGTAATCGTCCAGGAGGTGAAAATAAAGTCCTTCCTCTCCTCCAGTAAGCCAGAGACTGGGCTAGTTATCCTTGGTCTGGGGAGGAGGGATTCAGTCCTCCTAGGGAGCCTGACACGTGAAAGGCGGCTGTGTAGCAACTTGTTAGCGTTGTTTCTATAAAACAAACACGTAAACGAAAAGCAAACATCTTGAGGGTAACCAACACTGGAAAACTTACATTGTGGGATGCCTTTTTCAGGGCTTGCTTTCAAACATAATCTAATATGGACAACCGATTTCTGATGTCTTATGAAATCCTGACATTTCATTACCTCACGATAAAACAATCAAATTTAAGGCGTAACGTGTTTTCTCCTTTTAATGTTGATAGATTGTTGGTAGGTGAAATTGAGAAGTTGATAGATTGTTAGTAGGTGAAAATGATGTTGAGAGGTTTGTAAATTCATAGGTCGTTTATTAACACACATTCAAAAGAAGTCTTTTTGTTTGTTTGGGGTCTATTTTTAGACCTCTTCAAATTACTCAGGACTGGAAGTTTTGTAATTCTCATCAATCAGGTTTGGGAACTTCTCAGAGCCAGGAGTTTGTAATGTGTCGTTTATTCGCTTTGCATGATACCTTTGTTCTTGTGAATTTATTGGAGAAATAAACATGGTCTTATAGCCATGGAAAATAAAATAAATTTTAATATAGCTATTTAAGTCTCTAGGGAAATCGTTAAGTGTCCTTTTAAAGTGCTTATTGATTTGTTTATTGGAAGAGGGTGTATTTGTGTTTCTTTTTGAGTTAAATGTTACTTCTGAATTAAGTAAAATCCTTAAGCTAAACTAATGGAGAAAAAATAACTTAGAATAACCGGTGAAACAGAAACAGTTTCTCTGTGTATGTAGTCAGAGATGCACTGTAAATGCTTATATTCAGCCCCTCACAGCATCCAATCTTTTCTCTGCATCAAACTAGATTAAATGGAGTGGGAAAAGGGATACAGATCACTAGTAAATAATAATGACTTGACCTTGACCACACAGATTTTATTTATTTATTTATTTATTTATTTATTTATTTTTATTTTGAGATGGAGTCTCGGTCTTTCGCCCAGGCTGGAGTACAGTGGTGCGATCTTGGCTCACTGCAACCTCTGCCTCCTGGGTTCAGGCGATTCTCCTGCCTCAGCCTCTGGAGTAGCTGGGACTACAAGCACGTGCCACCATGCCTGGCTAATTTTTTGTATTTTTAGTAGAGATGGCATTTCATCGTGTTAACCAGGATGGTCTTGATCTCCGGACCTCATGATCCGCCTGCCATGGCCTCCCAAAGTGCTGGGCTTACTGCAACCTCCACCTACTGGGTTCAAGCGATTCTCCTGCCTCAACCTCCCGAGTAGCAGGGATTAAAGGCACGTACCACCACACCTGGCTAATTTTTTATTTTAATAAAGATGGAGTTTCACCATGTTGGCCAGGCTGATCTTGAACTCCAAACCTCAAGTGATATGCCTGCCTTGGCCTCCCAAAGTGCTAGGATTACAGGTGTGAGCCACTGGGCCTGGCCAGATCTTCATTGTTTAGAGGTTGTTTTCCACATATTCTGTCCTCTTTCTTGAAAATACCCTGGAGCCCAAATTCACTTAGGCAACCCTAAATACACGTTTCTCAATTCTGGTGTCTCAAAGTTGTCACCTAGTCAGCTTGTATGGTGTGTCCATACAAGCCTGATTTTTTTCTCCCTGCTGACTCACATATTCACCTGAATTAGAATTCAGCCAGATGCAATCTGTTTTTCGTCGTCCTGGCTGCTGAGCTGATTTTTATGGTGAAGAGTTCTGTGTAACTATATACCTGTCTTCCTCATTATTTTGTGCAAGAATCTTGGTAAGTGGCCCCAAACATTTAGCAACTTGCAAGTAAGTAGTAAGTTTTAGAGGTGTGGAAAACACAGACTAGAAGAATCACATCTTTATACTAAGCTGTTGGGAAGAGCTTCACCCTTCCACAAATTTTAAGCAAGTTCATTTGAATTATGAAACTGCACAAATTAAAAGATGCCACTGTGTTTCTATGACCACAGTTATAGCATGCCACAAGATTGCATGCAATGATTATTTTCTAAAATATTGGTAGTTGATCATTTTAAGGTAATATGGACTGTTTCACTAATTAGAAGATCTAGTTTTGCTGAACAAATTAGGTTGTTTGAATTTTTAGTACCCCTCCTTCCTGGTAACAGGAGACAGATTTGCCCTCATTCTCTATATAGTATTTTTTTGTGAGTTTATTTAAATTGCAAAAATTGGCAACTTAAGCAAACCGTTGCTCTCAAATACTATGTACTTAATTTGTTTTTGTTGGAGGTTTTTTTTGTTGTTGTTGTTTGTTTGTTTGTTTGAGATGGAGTTTTACTGTCATTGCCCAGGCTGGAGTGAAGTGGCACAATCTTGGCTCGTTGCAACCTCCGCCTCCCAGGGTTCAAGCGATTCTCTTGTCTCAGCCTCCTGAGTAGCTGGGAGTACAGGCACACGCCAACACACCTGGCTAATAGTTTTTGTATTTTTAGTAGAGATGGGGCTTCACCATGTTGGCCAGGCTGGTCTCAAACTCCTGACCTCAGAAGATCCACCCACCTCAGCCTCCCAAAGTGCTGGGATTACAGGCATGAGCTACTGCACCTGACCAAATTTGAGTAATATTTTTAGATTTTATGACTGGCTTTGGGGAAAGGGAGTTCTGGTTTCTATGACTCACCTTGAGGAAGAGGGACAGTAGTTTTTCTATGGCTAGTCTGGGGAAGAATGAGACTGAGAGACAGGAGGGCAGAAGGTCAGAGAAAAAGTTTTGCTTCTGAGGCTGCTGCTGAGACCTTCATTTTGGGGTATGGCTTTCTAAGCCCCACCACCAGCAAACTCATTTTTAATTTCTTATAGGAAAAGTTTAATGAATTAACTTTGTACAATACTGAATGGTACAAAACAAAGAGCAAAATTTCACCCTGTACCTCTGTTTTCATTACCCTCTTCAGAAGCAACCATTCTTGATTATTTTTATTTCTTTTGATCAACTTAGTTATATTGATATATTTTATCATAATCCAGAATGCTAAACTAAATTTCTTAACAATTAGAAACCTTTACTGGATCCATTTTATAAACTTCCTTCAAGTTTGTATTTTATAATATGTGTATAATGAAAGGGGCTTGGTTAGAGAGTACACAATAGTGCTTTTCAAATGAAAGCTAGTTTTTATCCCTAAACATGATGACTTGTCTGTGACAGTAAAACGCAGAAGCTGATCATTAGTTTTACTTTTTTTCTTTCTAGTTATAATTATTCAGTATGTTCCCACTGACTGAGGAAAACAAGCATGTGGCCCAGTTGTTGCTCAGTACTGGTACTTGTCCAAGATGTATCTTCAGATTCTGTGGTGTGGATTTTCATGCACCTTACAAACTTCCATACAAGGTATTTTCTTCTTTTTTTTTCAAGTTAAGAGAAGGTTCTCTATATTTTACAATGAATGCCTGTACTTTTGAGAGCAGGTATATATTCATAACTTTTTTTAAAATTAAAAATCTATAATAAAATGAGTGATATTCTTAATTTTGGAATAGTCTCAGAAATGTAAGTTCCTTCTTAAGTGATTGTATCTAGGTATCTAACATTTAGTGTAATGGGATCTTTGTGGAGGAACTCCCTGGTGCATTTAACGTTTGTATAGATGTTTCCTAAAGGATATCTAAACACAATATCACAAAATATTGCTTCCTCCCAGGAGGGGCTAATATTCCTTACATGTCCTACTAAGTGGAAGCTTTGTGGGTATGGTTGCCTTTTTCTGTTTTTTCCCATTTTCTATATTACTAGTGGTATTTATAAATAGGTATTTGGAATCCTTTAGAAATAAATGCTTATCATAATCATTATTACTGTTATTAATGACAAAAGTAATATACAGAGATCTTTGACATTTATGGTAATATACAGAGAGCTTTGACGTTTAATATAATACTTTTTGCATAAGATGTGTAACATTTATGAAATGTTTGATTCTAAAAGTGATATTCTTTTTAGAGGCAAATAGTAATAGTACATATGTAAATATATACTTTATAAACAGTATGTATACAACATATACACACACAGTTTCTTGTAATTTAAAAAATTGTCCAGGAGTTAGTAGTATCAGTTATTTTTAAAATGTTGTTAGTTTTTTCTATTATTTTGGCAATAATAATACATAATATTCAATTATCATTACTATATGTCAAGCTCTCATATAATTCACATAAACTGATTAGGTAAGTACATACTATGATTGTCTCTATTTTCAGATGAAGAAACTGAGATACAGAGAGGTTAAGCAACCTGCCCAAAGTTACACAGCTATTAAGTGAGCAAGCTAGGATTTGAGCAGTCTGACTGAATTCAAAACCTAGGATTTGGAGCTAGAAGACATGGATTTGAATCCCAGTTCCACCAATTTGCAGCTTCAGTTTACTCCTCTGTAAATGGGAATGAATATAATACCCACCTCACAGGACTTTAAGGGACGATACCTAATAAAGTATGTGGAAACACTGGAAACACTTTGAAAACCAGAAATTGGCCGGGCGCGGTGGCTCACGCCTGTAATCCCAGCACTTTGGGAGGTCGAGGTGGGTAGATCATGAGGTCAGGGGTTCAAGACCAGCCTGGCCAAGACGGTAAAACCCTGTCTCTACTAAAAATACAGAAATTAGCTGGGCGCCGTGGCAGATGCCTGTAATCCCAGCTACTTGGGAGGCTGAGGCAGGAGAATCGCTTGAACTTGGGGGTCGGGGGTGCGGAGGTTGCAGTGAGCCGAGATTGTGCCACTGCACTCTAGCCTGGGTAACAGTGTGAGACTCCGTCTGAAAATTAAGAAAACAAAAACAAAAAACAAACCAGAAATGGTACTTGTGCTATGATGATTTAAATATGTGTATATTCATTTATACACAATATGACTGTAAAGTAATAAGACTGGTTTTGTGTAACCCTGCTTACACATTTTTTCAGATTATTATTCTATTATATGTTATTAGATTTTAAATTTATATTAAACTATTATTCTATTATGTTATTAGATTGTAAATTTATATTAAGAGACTGAGTGTTACCAACTTTTGTTTGTTTCATTTTATGTAAAGAAATATACAAGAATATTTGGACAAGTTTTTGGAAATGTTCTTAAATTTTGATCTGTTTTATTCATGTAGCTATGTATGTATATGCACATCTGTATATGCACTATGTTTTACCTATATTACAGATTTTAGGTAACAACAAACATTTGTGTGAGTCAAAATGTACCTGTATATGTATGTACGTATATTTATCTGTTAAAGCAGGAGAGCTAATTTCTCAATAAAGTGGATTTAAATTTGTTTGAGTGGAAGATTTTTTCCCTTTAGAGTCAGTAAATTGTCATCTGAATGAATTTGAAAAAGATACTTTTTCATCAATGGCATAAAAAACATGTCTAAACAAAACGGGAAAATACTCTGAGTATTTAGATGAGAGGGATATCTGAATGAGAGAAATATGAGAATGGTTTCAAAGAAATGCAAGTTCTAATACAAGACAGAAATTAGGCAAACTAGAATATAGTAGAGCATGTCTTTCAATTAATATATGGAAATAGTTTATAATCATATGCTAACTTTCAGCATTGTCAGCATTTGTGTACTTTTCTTAGTAAATATTCTCCAAATTATTTTTACTTATTAGACTACCTCTAATGATCAGATTTCATATTAAATAAATATTATACTTGTGAGCTCTTAGTAATTGTGAGGTTATTAAATAACCTAGCAAGGATGGAAATTCAGTTTGTATTTTTATATGTTAATCATTAGAACTGAAGTTTGTTTTTACTGAAATTAGCAAGTGAATGACTCACAACAGAATTACAAATTAACAAATTTGTAATGGAGCCTTTCTCCCTCAGATTTATGACTTTTGCTTCACTGATACATGGAACTCTTTTGAAAAAGTATTCCCACATATATAATAGAGATAGGTAATTCTCTTTTAAATTCCATAAAAGCCAATGCTGGCTAATAAAATAACTGGATTGCTTCAGAATTGATATGTCAACATTGTAAAATCTGTGATATGTCCTAATTTTCACTCGTATTTTCTTGTTTCATCTTACCTAGAAAGCCTTAAGGACATTGTCAGTGGGTCATTACTTTTTCTTTCATTAACTTTCCAGGAGTTGCTCAATGAACTACAGAAATTTCTGGAAACTGAAAAAGATGAATTAATTTTGGAAGTTATGAACCCACCTCCCAAGAAAATTCGACTGCAAGAACTGGAAGATAGTATTGATAATCTAAGTCAAAATGGAGAGGGAAGGATCTCTGTTAGTCAAGATGGAGGCATTGCTTCCAAGAACTCAAATTTAAATGTATGTAATGTATGCCTAGGAATTCTTCAAGAATTCTGTGAGAAAGATTTTGTTAAAAAGGTAAATAACCTGTTTTTCATTATAGGTGCAATTATGTAGAGATTTTCAGTCTTAAGAACAAGAATTCTTTTTTCTTTCCTTTTTTGGAGATAGGACAATTCTTTTTTCCTTTCTTTTTTGGGTTTTATTCTATTGCCTAGGCTGAAGTGCAGTGGTACAATCACAGCTCACTGCAGCCTCTAACTCCTGGGACTCAAGCAATCCTCCTACATCAGCCTTCTGAGTAGCTAGGACTATAGGCACGTACCACCATGCCCACCTAATTTTTTTTTCTTTTTTTTTGAGATGGAGTTTTGCTCTTGTTGTCCAGGCCATAGTGCAATGACGTGATCTTGGCTCATCGCAACCTCCACTTCCCAGGTTCAAGTGATTGTCCTGCCTCAGCCTCCCGAGTAGCTGGTATTACAGGCATGCACGATCATGCCTGGCTAATTTTGTATTTTTAGTAGAGACAAGGTTTCTCCATGTTGGTCAGGCTGGTCTCAAACTCCCAACCTCAGATGATCTGCCTGCCTTGGCCTCCCAAAGTGCTGGGATTACAGACATGAGCCACTGCGCCTGGCCCTAATTTTTAAATCTTTTTGTAGAGGTAGGGTCTCCCTATGTTACTGTGCTGGTCTTGAACAACTGGCCTCCAGTCATCCTCCTGCCTTGGCCTCTCAAAGTACTGGGATTACAGGTGTGAGTCACTGCACCCGGCCAAGGCCAAGAATTCTATTTTTTTTTTTTTTTTTTGAGACGGAGTCTCGCTCTGTTGCTCAGGCTGGAGCGCAATGAATGGCGTGATCTCGGCTCAGTGTAAGCTCTGCCTCTTGTGTCCACGCCATTCTCCTACCTCAGCCTCCCTAGTAACTGGCACTACAGGCACCCAACACCACACCCGGCTAATTTTTAGTATTTTCAGTAGAGACAGGGTTTTACCGTGTTAGCCAGGATGGTCTCGATCTCTTGACCTCGTGATCTGCCCACCTTGGCCCAAAGTGCTGGGATTACAGGCGCAGGCGTGAGCCACCGCACCCGGCCGAATTCTTTTTTTTTTTTCAAGACAGAGTTTCACTCTTGTCACCCAGGCTGGAGTGCAGTGGTGCAGTCTCAGCTCACTACAACCTCCACCTCCCAAGTTCAAATGATTCTCTTGCCTCAGCCTCCTGAGTAGCTGCGATTACAGGCATGTGCTGCCACGCCCAGCCAATTTTTGTATTTTTAGTAGAAACGGGGTTTCACCATGTGGGCCTGACCTCAGGTCTCAAACTCCTGACCTCAGGTCATCTGCCTGACTTGGCCTCCCAAAATGTTGGGATTATAGGCATAAGCCATCGCGCCCGACCTTCTGGTTTTTGTTTTTGTTTTTGTTTTGAGACAGGGTCTCACTGTGTCACCCAGGCTGGAGTGCAGTGGCATGATATCGGCTCATTGCATCCTCCACCTCCGGGCTCAGGTGATCCTCATACCTTAGCCTCCCAAGTAGCTGGGACTACAGGTGCATGCCACCATGCCCCAGTACAAGAATTTTTATATTGAAAGGCACACTGCCGTTCATTTCAACTTTTTTTCACACAATTGGATCATTAAAATATTTTCTTAATGTTTTTTAAAAAAACCAAAACCTACGATTCTCAAATTACTTTTTAATTGACATATCTGAAAATTAATAAAATGTATATTCATGTGTTTCAGTCATAAGTGCTATTTAATTGAAGAAAAATGTAGCAGTTTGTTTTCATTTTGCTGTTTAACATAGCTGAATTACAGAAAAGTTCATTTCTAGTTGTACTTATTATTGTCCCGAAAAGACAGGTGGTACAGCCCTGTAGAAGGTAAATGATTGAATGTGGGACTGCCTTTTGTTTGTTTTTTTCTGTCAAGAGTGCTATATTTGGGTTTGTTTTGTTTGAAAGTTAGGGGGTGACCTAATAGAAAGCTATTTTGACACTTAACAGTTTATTCTGCAGATGTTATTCCTGGCTGTTTTGGTTCTTTGTAGTATTAGTCTTCAGGGTCATAGTTAGGCAATATTTAATCTCAAGATATTTGTGAGTGTTCCACTGTCAAATGTGAAAGTTTGGAAGTTTTGCCATGTCATCTCCTGGACCAGAAATTCATGTTATTAAGATTAGAGTAAGTAATATTTTCAGCAATTCCTGGGAATTTACGTAATTGTAATGCTTTTTTAGGTGTGCCAAAAGGTTGAAGCCTCTGGGTTTGAATTCACCAGCTTGGTATTTTCAGTCTCCTTCCCACCACAACTATCTGTAAGAGAGGTAAGGTCATTTGCATGCATAAAACTATATGTGAAGTGCATGCTAGGAATTTCTCGAAAAATGGGAATGTAGAAACATTCCTTACTCTATTATATTTTTTACATTTTGTGTACTTATTGAATGATTGAAGCAATTTATAGCTGCTTAATAAATACTTGTTGAGTGAGTGAATGACAAAAGGAATTAGTTTTGTTCCTAGGACAGCCATCTTTTTTAAAGTCCCTCAATCGGTTGCAGACATTCATTATTAGCTCCATGTGAGGCATGATGGTCAGAGAAAGACATTTGACTAGGTTTCCAGAGATCTTTTGAGGTGGATATGTGCATTTTAGAATAGTCCTAGAATAGAGTCGTTTCAGTTATGATGAGCCTTATTCTCTCTGGAGTAAAATATAAAAAGATGGCGTATCTTCCAGTCAATGATAAAAGGGAGAGAATTGGCCTCATTTTTAAAAACTGTTTTCTTTGTTAATTGAAAAAAAATTCATTGCTGTATTATTCTTATGTGTCAAAACTGACATGAAAACATAACATTTTGCTAATATTGTTAAATGAAGTATAGTGAGAAACTTCTGTAATCTTAAATTACAACCATGGGTTCTAAGCATATTCGTTTATATTTATGAGATGTCTTTCCCCTAAGAAACCTACGGTATCACCAGAACATTACATCGTAAACCCTCACTTTCTTTGGGTGAGCATGTTTGTTAGCCCTAAATAAGCTGAAGATCGTTGAAGCTGGATAGAATGATAAAGAAGAGCCAGGAAGTGAAAAAGGGTAGGATGATTTTATATAGTATCTGTGTTGCTGACAAGATAACTGAGCAAATGGAAGAATAAAGATGATGATGATGATGATATACTGGGTTTATAAACACTTAATTTTCTAGTCAATCATCAAAGTATTTCTCACTGATGTGTCATCTTCTGGTCCAATTTTGGTACAGAGAAACAGACTTCCAAAAGCTAAGTGACTCTCACTTTAGTGAGAGTTTTGAGAAACAAATAGGAATAAGAAGTATATTTTCTGAATGTGGTTATATATCTTACCATCAAACCCTTCCTCTCAAAGCTTATATTTATATATTTCCATAACCCTCAGAACCTGTGAATCAAAGTTTATATTTTTACACTAAGATTCATATTATCCATTTTATCACTTATTTGATGATTTTAACAATATTAGCTTAATGTTACTATTTATAAGGTATTTCTATTCCATATTAGAAACAGAAGATACTGTTTTTGTTTGTTTGTGTTTTTGTGATGGAGTTTCACTCTTGTTGCCCAGGCTGGAGTACAATGGCGCCCTCTCGGCTCACTGCAACCTCTGCCTCCCGGGTTCAAGTGATTCTCCTGCCTCAGGCTCCCAAGTAGCTGGGCTTACGGGCATGCGTCACCACGCCAGCTAATTTTTTTTTGTATTTTTAGTGGAGACGGGGTTTCTCCACGTTGATCAGGCTGGTCTCCGACACCTGACCTCAGATGATCCGCCCGCCTCAACTTCCCAAAGTGCTGGGATTACAGGCGTGAGCCACCGTGCTTGGCCAGAAGATACTGTTTTTAAAAATAGAAATATTCTGCTTAAACTCTGCTTTTCATAACTGATTTTAACCAGAAAACTATTTAGTAGAAATATGTAACTGTTCTAATTATTGAAGAATTAATATGTTTCCATAGTTTAATGTGCTATGTTTTATTGTTTTATTTGTAGTAATGAATAATGTATTTTTACCCATTCATTTCCTAAGAATAATAGTTCAAGTAATTACAGTTTTATATGCAGTATACTCTTTTCACATCCCAGGTTTCTTCAGAAAATTATGTTTGTGGTTCAGTTCGTTATTTTCTGTTATTATTGTGTTACTTTCTTTTTTTTTTTTTTTTTTTGAGGCAGAGTCTCGCTCTGTCACCCAGTCTAGAGTACAGTGGCATGATCTTGGCTCACTGCAAGCTCCGCCTTCTGGGTTTACGCCATTCTCCTGCCTCAGCCTCCCGAGTAGCTGGGACTACAGGCACCTGCCACCATGCCTGGCTAATTTTTTGTATTTTTTAGTAGAAACGGGGTTTCACCGTGTTAACCAGGATGGTCTTGATCGTCTGACCTCGTGATCTGCTGGCCTCGGCCTCCCAGAGTGCTGGGATTACAGGCGTGAGCCACCGCGCCTGGCCATATGTTACATTCTTTTATTGCCATCTTTTATTACTTCTTTGGAATTGAGATATGCTGTGCAAGCCAGGCTGTATATAAATTGCTTTTTAAACGACTTATTTGTTACACATCTCAATTTGAACTAGTTACACATATCTTCAGAATATTCTGCATTTTGAATATAAATTCTGTGATTTCTCTAGTGCCATGTTCTACATTATGGCTTTCAACTTAGACCTTGTAAATATCTCTACCTTAGAACTTCTTTGTCTGTTTGTAGAACAAACATCAATATACTATCCATAAAATTGGTGTATGTCAATTATCTCATAATTCACACTAGAATATACAATTGAGTCCGTTTGAATGATTTGGTTTTTTCCACTTCTAAGAAGTAGATGATCACAGATCTATTTAAAGCAACAATATTTTATCAGTATGGTGGTATTTATTATATTCCTGCTTACAAAAGAAATAAGGGGTGGCCTCAAGTAAAGTTTTTTTTTTTTTAATTAAATGGCCAGTCGCAGTAGCTCATGCCTGTAATCCCAGCACTTTGGGAGGCTGAGGTGGGAGGATCTCTTGAGTTCAGTTCAAGACCAACCTGGGCAACACAGTGAGAGTCTGTCTCTACAAAAAAATTTAAAAATTAGCTAGGTGTGGTGATGCATATCTGTAGTCCCAGCTATCCTGGAGGGCAAGGTGGGAGGCTTGCTTGGGCCTGGGGGGTTGAAGCTGCATTGAGCCATAATCACACCACTGTACTCTAGCCTGGGTGACAGAGCGAGGCCCTGTCTCAAAAAAAAAAATTAAGCAATAAAATTTGCATTAACGCATCTGTATTCCTGGTTATACTAATCCTTTTCTGATGATAGCATTTTTTTTTTTTTTTTTTTGAGACAAGGTCTTGTTCTGTCAGCCAGGCTGGAGTGCAGTGGTGCAGTCTTGGCCCACTGCAGCCTCCGCCTCCCGAGTTCAAGCCATTTTCCTGCCTCAGCCTCACAAGTAGCTGGCATTACAGGCATGTGCCACCACACCCAACTAATTTCTGTATGGGGTTTCACCATGTTGGTCAGGCTGGTCTCGACCTCCTGATCTCAAGTGATCCACTTGCCTCGGCCTCCCAAAGTTCTGGGATTACAGGTGTGAGCCACCTCTCCTGGCCCCAGTAGTTATTATTTATCATCATTATAAAAGCATTAATTTAAAAGCTTAGAAAGAAAAGTCTGTATTTTTGTTCATAGTATAATAATCATTTTCCACTGAGTTCGGGAGAATATGGAAGCAGGATGGAGTATATGTCCGAAATGTGTTTTCTTAGAAGGAACTAGCTAATCAACCAGAACAGTTTTAAACTGAATACTACTAAAGAGGAGAAGCATAAGCAGAATTTGAGATTATAAGAGAGTGATAAATACCTTACGACTGTCATGGTGACTTTCTGGGTTTGGTCTTATCATTTGAATGTAATAATGGAAGGATAAATCCTTCTTATAAGGCTCAGATTTGTTAAGGGGAAAGATGTAATAGCGTGATATGGCAAGAAATTATGTACCTGCACTGAGATTTGAGATCCTGAGAGTGATCTCACGGTGGTACCTGTGGTCCCAGCTACTGGGGAGACTGAGGTGGGAGGATCACTGTAGCCCAGGAGGCGGAGGTTGCAGTGAGCTGCGATTGTACCACTGCACTCCCACTCCAGCCTGGAACAAAGTAAGATCCTGTCTCAAAAAACAAAACACAACACAACAAAACAAAATAGGATAGATAGAGTAGTAGAAGTATACTGTATAATATCTGGCCAAGGGGAGGATTGATTAATTGCAGATACAAAATAGTCACAAAGGCTAATGAATACAGTGGTGTGAGGGACTCTCAGTGTCTGGGTACATGATGGAAATCATGTTTAACTAATCATGTGTGTTATCTGACAACTTTTGGATTGGAACTGTTTCTTTTCCTAAAGTAGTGGTTCTCTAACATGCATGAGACTCACTTGGAGAGTTTCCCAGGCCCCATTCCCAGAGATGCTAATACAGTAGGTCAGGTGAGACTCATGAATTTGCATTTCTAACAAGCTCATAGGTAATGCTGGTGCTATTACAACAACACTCTGAGAACCATTTTCCTAAAGGATGGTGGGGCAACTAATCTAGTCCTAAATGAAAAATTGGTAGCCTTTTAAATTTGTATTCCTGAAGGATGGGAAGAAGAGGCATAAGTAGAATATATCCTAAGCTTCTGATAGGTGTATTTCAAACACTACAAAGAAAACGCAAAGAAAAATGGCATAGGATTCTGCGCTGGAAGATAAAAGGATTGAGAGCATCAAACAAAGTGCAATTCACATTTTAATTCAAACCAAACTATCTCAATGAATAAAAAAAAGGTTGGGGGAAAATACATCTCAATGAAGAAGAAATAGGGATCTCTTTCTGTCTCTACCTCTGTTTTTACACAAAGGCTTGTATTTAGATATATTTATTTGACATTTTAGTTTGGCCTATGAACCCCTGTGTACCTGTCATCCAACTCCAACAGTTAAATTTTTTGCCAATCTGGGATCAATTTCAAAAGAAGTACAGGAAAGGTCAAGTCAAATTAATGCAAATGAAAGAAGATGACTTGGCTGGGTGTTGGCTCATGCCTATAATCCCAGCACTTTGGGAGGCTGAGGTGGGTGGATCACCTGAGGTCAGGAGTTCGAGACCAGCCTAGCCAACATAGTAAAATCCCGTCTCTACTAAAAATACAAAAATTAGCCGGGTGTGGTGGTGTGCACCTGTAGTCCCAGCTATTCAGGAGGCTGAGGCAGGATAATCATTTGAACCTGGGAGGCAGAGGCTGC